AGACTGACGCACAAACCCACCTGTACAGGAGCCCCCTCGCCAGAGCCCTGGCACGACAGGGCGACCAGATCTGCAGAGCCGGCAAAGTCACTGGGCGGCAGCTGCAGCTCCTTGCAGACCGATAACTGGGGTTCAGAACAGAACAGAATCAGACAGCAGGCCTCCAAATCAACGCCACCTGTAGCCGCAACGTTTCACATTTTCGCCAATGGATGCTAGAAAACGGTTTTCCTAACCAGAACTCACAGCTCGTAATGTGAACGGCCACACACCCTTCCCTTTTGCTAATCAAGGATGAAGTTGGCAGTGCTTGATTTCGTCCAGAAGGGGGAGGAACATTGGGTATCGATCTCAAAAACCACCACGTTGTACAGCTGCATGCAAAAGTTGGGGCACCCCTGGTTTTATTTTTTATTTTTTTTCAATCTGTCAAGTAAATGGTAATTGTGCATTAAAATGTGCAGAATTCTGCCATGTCTACGTTTGTACCCTCCAGAGGCTGTGTTAACTACCTTTCACTTAGAGACTCAGTGAAGCGTGCAATTTGACCAGGGGTGCCCAAACGTTTGCATACCACTGTATCTGATTGCATCATCAGCACGTGTCCAGGTCCCTGGGGTATCGGCAGGACAGACCTTCGCCTGTATGGACGTACAGGACAGAGTCACAGAGAGATGAGATCTTCAAACAAGCTGATAGGAAAAGACCAGTCAAAGTTCCATTTAACGCTCAATGCATTTCCCACAATATTTCCCTGTACACAGACGTCTGGTTTTCTAGGGATTAAAAAAGAGACGAGGAAATGTCACCTTTGCCACAGCAGTCTGCCCGATCTTCCAGATAATAAGACTCTCTCCGCACACCAGCCAGGCCCAGCCACTCTGGTCCACCCGCGTGCTGATCTCCTCCTCCTCTGCAACAGACAGGACACCCGGCTCAGCCCCAGGCCAAGGGCAGGAGATCACGCCTGTTCACACGCATGAATACAGCAGGGCCTGGCCTGCACCACCGAGCAACACACCCACTCACGGCCATCGATTTCCAGGTTACAGCCCGTGTGTGGGGTACAAACATCTATAGCCGTCCGGACACGCTATTGAGACCCCTAGCCACTGAAGGCTTGATTTTAAAAAGCTTGGAAGATAAATGAAAAACAATTTCCGCACACACGGCAAGGTCAGAAAGCTTTTGATTCTGGTGACATATGCATTTTTCAGCAAGTTGAATCCCGCCCTTTTGGGGACAGGGCCTTTGCTATTCGAATGAAGACGAAGGCTTTAGAGAAGCTGCACAGCCTGTACTGAGACAGCTGGACTGTACAATCATGTACAGTGTGTCAATACGCAAAAGCCCGGAGGCAGGCAGTACAGTATATCTACGGCGGCAGGGGCACAGGAATGCTCACCTTCGGCCATCGTCAGGGCCTCCATCACTTTCACGGGCAACGAAGAGCCGAAGCCCTGCAGGTCGAAGTTCTCGGCGGTGGCCGTGTACTGGGCCCGCGTGGGAGTCGCTCTGGAACAGAACAGAGGGGATGTTTGTGCTGCTGCCTCACACTCACAGCCCCAGGTCTGGGTTGGATTCTGGAAAAGGACACCTGTCCATGTCGAGCCTGCCCGCTCCCTGTGGGGTGCATTCTGGGTACTGTGGTTTCCTCCACTCCATCATGTTAGAAATATACATTGTTAATGGAACGAAAAAAACCTCTTTGAAACAAATGGCTGGTTTTCAGTAAGACTGAATAAAGCACAAGATAAATGAAGAGGATGGAGTACGAAGCTGCATCAGTGCGGGTTCTGCAGAGGTCTGCATGCTAACAAACCGGGTCCATTCGTGACGTCGTTCTTGCAGCTGGATCGGAACCAGCAGCACATGCACTGGTCTGTGAAGTCCTGTGACTGGTTAACCCAGCACCTGACAGCGCGCTGTCACAATTGAAAACAGCAGCCATGCCGACAATACTCTTGGACCTGTTCACAATTCAGATTGGAATTTTACTTTTTTTCTCTAATGCCCTGAATCTGACGGAAGCGGACAAATGAATGAATTTCAATGAATGAATGAACAATGCAGTTCTCTCGCAGAGTAGTCTTCACTATTAAAATGTGCCTCCGACACGAGGTTCACAAATAATATCGTTTGCTTATATATTCAGGATATCAGCAAAATACCTGACCTGACGAAAACGCATACATTTAAAATCAACTAACTTGGTTAGCCAGCGAGTTTTAAACAGGTGAGGGGTTTTCAAATTCGCAGTTGTTTTAAGTAAATTCTATGACTTTTATATTAAATGATAGAGGATAAACGTTTTTTAAAAACAACTATTAACGCTAAACCACGTAGAATTACTAAGTGATAAGGATTTGCGATTAAACAAGCCGCGCTTTGCTCTTTTAAAACTAATCATTTCGTGTTTAGGATTGTTCGTACAGCTCTGCTAACTTCACTATTTTAGTGATCGTTAATGAAGATCCTGCTTCATTTCACGTTGTTTTATTTTTGGATCAGTACTGACGAAAGTGAAGCGACTGTTAGATCACCCTAACGTAAATTTTCGCTTCATTTTTTCGATAAAATACTTACCTCGCCGGCAGAGACGCTCTCCGGACCGGCGAGAACAGTCCCGTCGGGGTACCGGCTAGGCTCTTTCTACCGGCCGCTCTGGAGGTCGGCCTGCGAGCCGATCCAGCAGACGCCCGGGGAGAAAACATCTTTTATTTGTTCGCTGTATCCGAGTACGATTTTCGACTCCTTTCACACAGGTTCTGTATAAAGTCAAACCATGAGACAACCAGTTCCTCGTTCGAAGATTCCCTCAAAAAACGCTCGCACACTGACTCGCAACATGCGACAAGTGCTGGCGCATAACATAAACGTCATTTGTCGTGGGCTGGTTGTGGGGATTGTAGTTTTATATAGAGAAGAAAGCGTACCAGACTACATCATGAAAGAACACTGTATGAAAAGGGAAGTAAAAAAAATAAAAAGGAAGGAAGTGAGAACGCAGCTCTGGTGTGTTTCGTTTCGAAAGTAGTACGTTTTATTTGTTTCTCATTGAAAGCTTTTTAAGTACCGTTGAAGCCTCGTGAAATGAAGTTATTTCAGATATTTAACTTATACAACAAATTCGCTATTTGAAAAAACATATTCCTGTCAGTTGCAAAAGGGTTTTTAAATTTATTTGAACATAATGCAATTCTGTGTTTATCTTTCCACAAATATACAGTACATAAAGAAATTCAGAAGGAGAACGAAATTGTTCTGTTTATTGATAAAAGTAAAATATGGTGTACTGTCTAAAAAAAAAACAAGCAAGAACCAACTTTGTGTTCTTGATGCCTTTATACCGGGCCTTCTACGTGGTGGACACACTCTCTCCCAATGTTTTCAGCTGTTTACTGAAAAGAGCCATCTTCATTTTAATTGAAAATGTTTTTTAGTTTAACTTGATTAAGTAGAAATGTTGAGGAAACGTACAAGTGTTCGGTCTTTCACAGAACAGAGTGGATGTTTGTGCTGCTGCCTCACTCTGTGGTTTCCTCCCAGAGACACCCGATTATGTTACAAATAAACATTTTTAATAACACAAAAAACGTTTAAAAACAAATGGCTGAATAAAGCACAATATAAGTGAAGAGGTTGGAGTAAGCCTTATCAGTGTGGGTTCTGCAAAGAAACAAGTAGAGGTTAGCTGCATGCTGCAGCAGAAACAGCAGAAAGTAAAAACATTTCAACCTCATAGACTGTTTCAGGGTTGATATCTGTATTAGTCAGCAAATGTAATTTTTGATAAAACAATGCAGCCTTAAAGCCTGTGAAAAGGAACTGTGAACTGGCTTCATTACTCTGCTCTCCTCCCCACTGATAGCTGGTGTGTGGGGAGCGTTCTGGCGCACTACGACTCCCGTTGCATCCTCCAGGTGGGGCTGCACATTGGTGGTGGTGGAGGGGATCCCCATTACCTGTAAAGC